TTTTGGTTCGTATTGAAGATTATGATTTCGATATTGGTCGACAGTTGTTTCCAGTTCCGTATACCATTCAACTGTAGGAATTCTTTCCGTAACAAGTGGAGTTCAATCTGTGTCGGATAGAGACAGGTATCTACCTCAGACAATGGACGATCGATGGAAAATAGACATTAACAACCCTGAATGCCGGCTCACTGCTCTAGAGGTTAAGTGTTCGCGCGCGAAACCGAAGGTCTTGAGTTCGAACCCCGCATGTTGGCTCGTGGATGTGCACAGCTGGGGGGTTTCGTACCTGGACGAAACAGCTATCTATTGCTTCCAGGTTTCCAACGGCTGTCTAACATTCATCGATACATGATCTCAGTCAGAAAATAGTAATTGATGAGAAGAAGGAATATCAATCGATTATCATGTATATGCCCATTTATCATGTTGTAAGTTACGAGATCTAATTGGACAGCTTTTGTATTGATATTTGCACGAGTACTGCAAAACTATGATGAAGTTTGGTATGTTGAGGCCTACTGTTGCAGAGGCTCCCACAACAGTGATTGTCTTCACCTGCATTTGCTCGTGTGGATGGAAAAGAAGAGCTAAATGATTTGTGAAGTTCAGAACGTCTAGTTGATCGTAAGGTGTCCATTGTATCCCGTGTTTCCCCCACCCCAAAGATGTCGAGGTTTTCATAATCCAGTCAACCAACACAAGAAATGCAAAACGGTGAGAGTAAATAGCCTTGTATAAATCCAGACCTCACTTCGAATGAGTCTGTCTGCTGTCCTGCATGCACGACGTCGCAGTGTAATCTGTCATATGAATTCCGGATGATGTTGACGATTTTCTCGAGTAGTCCATAGTGTCGGACAAGGTTCCATAAAGTCCTCCTATCCACACTGTTAATTTCTTTATCATAGTCAAATACGTTGATGTATAGTGGCGAGTTCCATTCAATTGATTGTTCAACAGTGATCCGTATTGTCACGATTTGATCTGTACATGACCGAGCCTTACGGAATCCGACATACCGATCTCGAAGATGAACGCCAACTGATTCTTCTGACAACACTCTTTTGAAAACCTTTCCAGGTACCGATAGTAGTTTTATTCCTCTGCAGTTCTCACATTTTCTCAAGTCTCCTTACTTAAATATTTTCATGAGGTATCCTTCTTTCCCGTCTGCCCACATTTGTTCATCATCCAAAGTCTTCTTGAATAGAACGTAGAGTATCTTTGCAGTTACTTCTACGTCTGATTTATGTGCTTTAGCTGGCATATTGTCAGGTCCTGCTGGTTGTCTCTGATATCATTGGTGTATGCATAACACAAGATAACCTCCATTGTGCTTTTCTTTATCTTTGTTTTGAAGGATGTTTTGATGATCCTGGATCCGTTAGATTCCGATCTAATAAGTGCATTACATGTTCCTTTGGACAGCAGCAGAACAATTTCATGAGTGTGTTGAGCATCTTTGTGTTCATAAATGAAGTACAACAGCATCTATCCTGTATCTATCTTTTTCTGTGCAGTTTGGTTCTAAGGGGTTCCATTGATTCTTCGAAGCTTCAAGTTGTATATCCTCAGTTCTTTTGCTATTTGATTGGTCCTCCCAGTCTCTCATATTTTCCAAACGTTCCATGTACCCATAAAAATTGTTGCTTTGGCTGTTATGAGGAGCATCGACCTCGTAAATCCCGAAGAACCTCTGCTATCTTCATGATGCGTCACAATTCTTCCTTCAACTCCCATTGCAGAGCTTAAATGATTTGACTCATTTTTTCTGGTTAGCGTCCCCTTTTAGTAGGGTCGTTTTGCACCGAACGGGGATGTTAACTGTTATATCCTAGTTATGAGTCACGTCTGAGACCTACGATTTACTGTTCTTAAGCTATGTTCAGTTTATTGACTATTACCTCCTACGTTCACAGCCACTTTTTTGGCTTTATTGTGTATGAATGTTATTTCTTTTTTTATGGTGCGTTGCGGTCTGTTCGGTATATAAACCCAGTATGTCTGAAATGAATAATTCGCATAGTGGAGGCTGTTGTTGGCATTCTGGGCTCAGACGGACGGGTTAGGCGAGCAGCAGACAAGTAGGATGCTAGGCTAATCAAACCGGTCAGACGTCATTGGTCTAGTACAGTTTATCAGCGAATGATTAGTATTTTGATTGCCAAATAGATTACGTGATAAACATAAAGACACAACACTGACCTTATACCTAACCCTTCTCCATGTGTCATCGTTCACTGGAACTCATAGGCTCAACACACAGTTCTAGCCTCATCTATTGATGAATCAACAAGATAATTGGATTGTCCAAGAGACCCACCACCGGCTTTTACACAATCTATCAAAGCCAATGTCCTTCTCAAACTAAATCAAAGAGACAAGATTTGACCCCCCAGATGAGTGCTGAATGTGAATTCTGTGTTCAGCCTCAAAGATCATGTGGTTAGAACCAATATCATTACAGAATTATACTTCAGGGATAATAAAATGTCTTAACTTAATAGCAATCAATCTAGAGATAAAACATTTCCCACTGAATCTGATATATTCGTATCACAACCCCATCGAGCAATGTTTAAAACACCCACAACCCATCATAAATAGGTGCTTATTTTACGTCCTGTATACCACATACTTCCAGTGCTGAAGCCGCTAAATTTAAATGTTGGTGACGCCTCTTGGATAAAAAAACAATCACAGACCCTTTACTAAGCAGTTACTCGATATACCGGATATCAGTTTCAAATTACCATGAATAAAACGACATCGATGAACCATGATGGTCCTTGACATCACCTTACTGGCTGTCCTTAAATGTGTAAGACTCACAAATGAACTGCGAACTCTTCGATTGTAATGGAAACACTTAAAGGGTGATGATAGTCGAATACATATATCTGAAAACCTAGTAAAAGTTTCATTTCAGATTTTCTCTACAAAGCATCCTGGTAAATTATAGTTCACTTAATATTTGTGTGGCAGCCGGCTACAGACGTGATGTATATAGAAAAATTCTAACATTCTATTGTGGACCGCGGGGTGGCTACTCTAATCTTTACCGACTGACCAACTGCAGATATTTCAGTACGACCCCAATACAATTCCTCAATCTCCAATATATCAGAACACGAACCTTAGATGAAATTGTTTATGGGGTCAGAACAAGAATAAGAATAGGAATATGAATAATGAGTTACAGACAAATGAATATTTATACAGTTAAGACTACCATAAATATTGATCAACAGGAAAATGACACGTGAAATAAATATTGACCAGTAGGGAAACGACACTATTTCGCGTTCAAGGATAGCATTAGACTTAACAGGATAATTTTTGGGAAATTTTTCTGAGTATCCCAACACACTAATAGTTAAAAAGATATTGGAACTAGTGAGACATTTGCAAAAGCTGTCTCACAAGATTTCAACTGTAAGGTAATTTTAAGCGATTTTGTCTTGCCAAGCAATATTTCACTTTACTGGTTAGCGTTTTTAGCAATGTTGTTTTCTACGGGATGCGGTTGCTGACCTCATGACTAATGCTCCTCGTTTGTCGGGGCATGGAGCCAGCAGTAGACTCGGAATAGCTGCAAACGAAGTCTAAGCATTGAATAGAGAGAGCAATTAATTCCATATACTGTTAAAGCAGACTGTAATCATTGACATAATCGACTCTCAGCGAAATGCACACCTAATAATAATAGTAACTCATTTTCAAATAACCATATCTGAAATATATAAGCCTATATGTTGGCTTTTTTAACGACCATATACTTACCGTGGCCAAATGAGTAAGTAATGATAAAATTATACAAACATATATATGACTATTACTAGTTATCGGATCATTTTCCTGGGTTTTGTGCAAAGCAATCTTAAGGGACCGTCGTTTGATTTGAACTGGTTAGTGAATAAAAGGCAACTCACCAATGTCACCAAAAAAGAGTATTTTGTAATGAGTAAACATTCTTTTCTTTTTCAACGACCAATCGGGTTATGCACAATTTCTATTCTTTGAAGGGACAAGAAAATAACACTAAACCGCAACCCAATAATCTTTTGACATGATTATACATTACCCTAGAATATTTAAAACTGAGAGTTAAATGGTTAGTGAAAGTAGGCGATATGGGATGACTAACTTTGGGAGACCATACATACTGAAAGCAGGGATAGTTACCCCATTCATACTTTCACTGTTATACTGCGTATAATAGAACCATTTTTGTTTTTCGTTGGACGAGAAGAAGAAGGATAACATGACACCACAGTAAGCTATGCCAGGATAAATAATCTGTTGACATCGATCGAGGATTGTACAGCTTAAATGGTCTCACTATGCATAATTTAAACTATCAGTTTATTAAATCTAGTCAGTTTATCAGTAGTGATCGTAGTCTTAGATACTACTACTACTACTACTACTACTACTACTACTACTACTACTACTACTACCGTAAACGGGTTTGCTGGAATTCAGACGCAACACAACACATCTTTCACATCACTCCAATATCTAGGATATAGCAAAGCAGTGATATACCAGTAGTTCAATATCCCCCACAAATTATCTGAAGAGAAATAAGGAGGAAAGAGATGATGGTTAATATGATAGATTTATTTCCTCTTATCTTAGGATAACGTTATAAAATCACATGGGTTAGTTAGAGTAAAAACGTTCAGCAATAAATCAAAACGCGATTTAATGGTGATAACTAGCTAACCTTCTCCCACGAAAAATAAATGTACAGTAAAATTAGTGTGATTAAAACTAACTTTGAAGCCTTACAAAAATGTATATGTTAAGGATTTCTTTATCTTCATAACTATATCTTTTGGTAATGAATCCCCGCTGTAAACCTACAGATGACAACCACAGAAAACACTTTGCACAGATATAATCTATTTTGATATTCTTGTATGAAATAATTGCTGACACCAGTTTAAAACTACTGAAGTTACTACATTTACATTTTTATGACCTTGAACATTGTCCTAATACAACTGTGTACGTTACTTTGCTACCTAGGTTACACGCAATGGACAAGCCGCAAATGATAGCACATATAACTAAGTCTGTCGACTTTACGCTTTTCGATTGTAAATGGATTCCGGTTAGTGCCAAGTTTGTAGTTGTTGGTTCAAAGCCTAGAGGAACTGGCGCTATTCAAATATACGATGTCTCTGCGAAAGATATTCAACTGGTATCCGAAGTAAGACATGGTCAAATTTCAAAGATATGTCATATATAAGCCTGCTATACGTCATTTTCCATTGGTATTTATTATTGGGTCTTCTGTGAAGCCTTAATTGTAATTAGGTGGTTTTTACTGTAACTCGACTGTGTTAGTGTTTTCACGCAGACAAAATGGCCAAGCTATAAACAAATAGTTTGACAGAACTAAGAACGTTTTTGTTTTTAGCATAAGAAACTAGTTGTCTTGGTTGATCATGCTAATTTGATGCATATAATTAATACACATCTTCAAAATGTAGACTGTCGATGATACCACATGATGAAATGTCGCTGAATCAAGTGTCAGACTAAAGATATGTTTTACTTCTAAAATGGTACTTGAGTGCGGTCAAAACATTTTTTATGAAGCCTTTGTATGCATATTTATGTCTTGTTCAGCTAGAGTTTGTGATCGTCCATAACCAAGCAATATATTACTATTATTGTTAAATAGCATCAAAAACATGCGGCCTACAAATTTATTTTAGTTACAACGCCTTTTTTGTGGCCAAAAGATCAATACGAACCCGCTCAATGTACTCACCCCTCGGTAGGTAAAAGTACATGTCGCCTACGTCATAAGTTATCACATGTCATTCAATGTTAGTCTAAGTTAAAAAAATCTTTGCACTCTAGGGAAAAATACAACTCTTTTACTAAAAACTCATTATTCTCGAAACGACATATCTTTTTTTCGTCCATTTAAAACTAATTTAATCCTTGTGGTTGTTTCATATTTTTTAGAGTGAAAAAAGTAGCTCTTTCAAATGTTGTACATTTGGTGCATCCATGCTCCCCCAAAGACATTTAGCTACTGGAGCGTTTAACGGAAGACTAGCAATATGGGATATCAGTAGTGACGGACGCCTTGATAATCCAATTTACGGCGTTCAAGCACATAAAGAGATAATAAATGCGATAGACGGTGTTGGAGGACTTGGAGTTGGTGAAGGGGCTCCAGAAATTGCCACAGGTAGCAGAGATGGTGTAGTCAAGGTGTGGGATCCAAGACAAGCCAAACTCCCAGTAGCAACTATGGAACCTGTTTCATCTGATTGTAGAGAAAACTCAGTTACTGAAAGTAGACGGGATTGCTGGACTGTTGCATTTGGCCATGCATATAATAAGCACGATAGATGCCTTACTGCAGGTTATGATAATGGTGATATTAAGTTATTTGATTTACGAGCCATGAAGGTCCGTTGGGAGACGAACATAAAGAACGGTGTCTGTTGTCTACAGTTTGATAGGAAAGATATATCTATGAATAAACTTGTCGCGACTACGTTAGAAGGAAAAATACACGTATGGGATATGCGAACACAACATCCAAAGAAAGGGTTTGCATCATTAATCGAAAAAAATCAAGGTGCTACTATTTGGCAGGTAAGCCATCTACCACAGCAACGTGATATATTTATGACTGCTGGTGGGAATGGATCCTTATGCTTATGGCAGTACCATTATCCCAGCAAACGTCAGAAGATAGTGAAGGAAGCAGATCCAGAGGGGAACGGTGATATCGAAGTGTCACAAGGTGTAATCGGTCACTTAACTCAGCTTCAGAATGTCACCCTGTCCACTCAACCAATATGCAGCATAGATTGGTGCCCAGACAAGCTAGGATTGGCAGTTTGTGTGGCATTCGACCAAGCAATCAGGATCCTAATTGTTACAAAACTAAATAAACTCTAGATAAACTATTCTAAAGTTATAACGTAAGCTGTAAAATAGCATGTATATATTGAGGTTATATTATCGTAATTTGAAAAATACTCCATTTTTTGTACCCTGCCCTTACAATTAAATTAATTATTACAGGGATAAACTGAAGATGCTAAATGTTCCGTGAACTCATCCACCATGCTGAAGTTCATGAAACAGGTTGCAATTAAATAGTGTTTCCTAAAACTTGGTCACATTATTCAACTAGTCAAGTAAAATCGCTTAGTAAGTTTCTATCTATTGTCTGCTGGTAGAAGCATAAATCACAACACTTATCGCGCAATATAACTGGAATGCTTGACCATTAAAAAGGACTATATTGGCTCCATGTAGTCTAGGAATTACTAACTTCTGATGCAAATCATTTAATTCATTCTTAACTCTCCAACCGTATGAATGAAAAACTAATTCCTAACCACTAGGCAGCTGTACTTTTCATCTTGTGGTCGCCAGTTGTGTAGACCTGGAGTCTTCCAATAAGGCGTTTCCGAAACCGCATCGTTCCTGATAATATATACTAGGGATTAAACATTAGTCACTGAGAGGTTCCTTGACCACATTTACCGTAACTTATACGAATTTATTAAGACAATGCTTGCATACCATAAACGCCTCTCATTTTTGTATATGGGGTATTTTACTGAGGCTTTAGTTTGAGAATGGTTTATGAGTAAAAAAATGATACTTTTTGACTGCCCGATGTTTCTGACCTAGAATGTATTTCCAAACATTCATGCGCTTTGTAAACATGAAAATAAGAAACAGTGTGATCTTTGTTAGTGTTTAGGGCAGATAGTGAGTTTTTAAGTAGAAGTTTCGCCAAATGTTTTGAGAATGAAAAATATCCCTGATCGTGACTTTCACATTATCCACCGCATTAGTGTAAATATATATTGTACAATGTCTATGAAAATCAAGTAAATACTAAAGATGATTTGTTTGGTACAGTATTAAATCAAATGATGAGAATTTCATTTTCGAGCTTTTTAAATATTTGTTAATAGGCGAGGTTAAGAGTCCGAATTGCACACTGCAAAGGCATTAAATTCTGAGCAATTTATTGTACAGAAGAAACGTAGGAGGTGGGATAAGAGAAAAGATATGTATATATCTTATCACTATAACATATGACTTTATAAGTTTCATGAACAAGTTTTGTCTGTGTCCTAATGGGAATGTCACTCGAGATCTGTTCTAGTTTGCAACCTAAAAGATAATCACTGGGTTGAAAAGCTTTATGATTGCTATTTTTCCAAGTAAACAAACGAAAAACCTCACAGGTAACTGCAGACTGCATTTGAAAACAGGCACTTATTTAGTATCTATAGTGTCTGAAAGTTATACACCTTATTTGTTTACATCCTATCCAGCCCATATTTCAGCACTGATAAACCTGGTTTTACTAGATGGTATGTTATATTTGTTCACTGATCAACGGACTAGCTATATGAATATGTATTCTGGAATGTGGGTTATTAAATATATAAAGAATTATTAAACATGGATTGCATGACTGTAAGTTACTTATGTGTTAAGTACTAAATCGATGAGTTCTAGTGAGAAGCCGTTACCAGTGGGGTTTAATCAGGTCTGTTGTGAGATATCAGCTCACTGAAGACAATGGTGCACGGTGGCGCAACTTCATGGATTGGCTGAAGTTAGACATTAACACCGTCGGATGCCGGCTCAGTGGTCTAATAGTTAAGTGCTCACGCGCAAAACCAGTAGGTCCTGGGTTCGAATCCCGCGGAGTGCGGGACCGTGGATGCGCACTTCTGGGGAGTCCCATACTAGGACGAAACGGCCGTCCAGTTCTTTCAGGTTTTCCATGGTGGTCTAGCTTCAATTGACTCATGATTTCAATCTTTTAAATTTCTAAAATCTCCACAAAACCCATTCTGATAAAAATAAAGATCACAAGATGATCAATGACTATTCACTATTGTCTATCATAGCATTAATAGAATACTGTAGAACAATACGCTTGATAAAAATTAAAACATTTTATTACTGACATAAAGCCAATAAGAGAAAACACAAAACAGTCACACTTGCAAACTATGTTTAATGTGAAATACGAAGTCTCTAGATCCTTCCAATTATATTCACGAAACAATAAGCATTAATGAAATTACCACTATATCAACACACAATAAATTAGTATGTCATATCCAATGAGCACATTAACTAATTTCTTCAGGAAAGATTCAATGTTATATTGTCCACTTTTCAGTCCTCATAGAAATCTCTTAATAAAGTATGACACATATTTGTTGCTCCAAATGATTATGATATGACGGTCAAAAACAATTGATAAGCTTCCTGTAAATTGAATACATTCAGTACCTAATGTAACATAATATTACACCATAATTAAGGATACCGAGGTAAACCATTTCATATATGGGGAGATGGCTTAGTGGCTAAGACATTTAACTGTATAGTGGCAGGTTCAGAAGACTTCATTTTAGTTTGCGTATTACCGGTATCACTAGTTCTCATACCTAAAATGTAATTAAAACAAAAAGATCAGATCATCGAAATACAATGAATTTTCATAAAAAAGCCATTGAGTAATCAAGGAATTAACATTTGTATTGTTTTAGTTATAAATAAAAAATATGTAGTATTTTACAAATTTATGTGTACATATTTGGTGATAAAAGAAACAAAAGAACATATAAATCAAAAAATCAGTGTGTAACTTTTTACATGAAAATATGTAGGCTTTATATATATATAACAGCATGGAAACTGACGAAGCTGTTTTGAATGTGTATAAAGCAAATGAGAGAAATGGTGATATTCCGCTCTAGATAAGTTCCATTATTTTCCCTTTCTAATTCTGAAAGTTTAAGATTAATTATTTCGGGGTGTCACATTTAATTCACGTAATTGACGAATTATATCCTCGAGTTTTTTCTTTCGACCACGTTCCTCTTTACGCATTGCTTGAAGGAATCCAGTACGTTTTTTATCGGAATCACGTAAACGTTCTAATAGTTTAATTGCTACACTCGGTGGAACACGATCATAAGCACTGCCTATTAATGATTTGAAATAATTAAAAAAAAAAACAATATTTGTGTTATAAAGACATTGAAATTAACTTGTAAATTATATTTTAGTAAAACTTCACTAAGATAAACTAGAAAAGAACCTTAATATTTTTACAATAACTCTTACGACTTTTAAGTCTAATACCAATTCGCTGTATAAATTGTTCCACGAAATGTTGCTTGGAAAACAAAAGACAATAATGAAAAGTTTATAATCCTAGAATGATTGTGTATATGAATTACATTATAGAAGTAAGATTTGCGTTTATGTAGGATGGACTAAAATGTACCAAAAGTAGATTTTACATATTGTAGCAGGAAACTTAAATGATAAATATCATCACTGTGTGTATACTAAAATATCGTCTGATAGTTTATAGATCTGCACGATAAATTTCATTACTAAAAAGATAATTTGAACAATAATTAGTTTCTTAAGAGTTATCTCATTAAACTTGCTCAGAAAAGATTAAAATGAACTCACTACAAAAGACAATAAAATCCTTTGATTTAATTATTTACAGCTTATTTGTATATTAATTAGTACAATATGTATTTGTCAACAAATTGTTAGTTTGCAATAAAGCAAGGGATTTAATGTTTATTCATGATAAAACAGTAGCTTAGCAGTTAAAAGATTTCAACCATTGCGTTGTATAGATTTAAACTCTACTTAACGCATGGTACGGCCGAGTGTGGGGAGAGTCAACTCTCCCTCTCGAAATGCTCTCACATGGCCACGTGTATACAGTCACTGCCAGAGAAATCCTGCTCACTGCCTTTTCGCGCCACGGGTGTTGTTTACGAAATCGAGAGGACGAAAAGCGAATGCTCAACGCTTTAACCGGGTTGGAGGATATGGATCATCCAGTTAGGGGAGTTGGAAAACCCTGATTCCAAACCAATGGTGCACAAGGGCTCCATGATCCTAAGGAAACAAACGGCGTATGAACCTATCGTTGGTCACCGGCTACCATGGAACTGCATCTTCCAACGTTCCTCCACTGCCTCGTGGATCAGACCTTCAGCTCAAAGACTCGGGATGTGGCCGCCTAAAGAAACCACCTGCTTCGGTCTAGGTACCTGGACAGTATCACAGCCCACACATAAACCAAGTGACTTGTGTGGCGCACATGTATTGAGTACCCCTTTATATCAATACTTATGTGTCCAAGTAAATAAAATCCACTTATCATAATACAATTTAGGCAGTCCACAGTAGTAATCGCTAGCCAATACACAATTCAAAGTGTAGTTTAGAGCTGAGTACAAAAAATTGCAACTAATAAGTAAGTTATTATTATTTTCTAATATATTTATCTATGTAACCATTAGAAATGTTTTAATCAAGTATACAGATGTGTTGGGGTGATCCAGAAAACTTCTCGCAAAAGGCAAGAAAGGCTCAGGAAACACTAAGAAGCATTTTGTCCAATTAGCGTGCAGTAGAAGTTTAGCCAAAAACATCAAGAAAGTGGAAAGTCACATGTAGAGTTTCTGACAGGTTGATTACTATTCCGCTACTATGTTTAGTATTGTAGTGAACAAGAACACGGGTGGAGACAAACAGATGTATTTTGCACAACAGTTACAGACTATCTCAACAAAATCCGAATACCATATAATAAATCGTCAACGCATCAAATCAAATTGGACTGTTTCTGTTGCAAACACCAATCCATTGTCTCCCATTCCATTGTTCATGCGTTTTCTTACAAATTCCATTGTGTTCTCGCTCCACTTTTCTTGATCTTCGCCATATGCTGCCAGACATTACGTTCTTTTAACGCACGTTATATACTACTTATATCAATATAAGTAGCTCACACCACAGTATCATCCCAGAATTTTCGGGAAACCCAGAGAAATCTAAAAAACTATAAAAACCCTATATTTTCTGTACTAAAACGAACCTTTGGAGTAGAATGCTTCTCGCATATTTTGCGCCTTTTATCTCATGTTCAGGTCGCTGTGTTGTTTTAGTTTGGTGGTTACGAGAATAGCTTAGGAACCGAATATACCGTTCAATTAGCAGGACTTATCGAGATGAAATTTTTCCAACAAAAATACACTCATCTCTATTATTTTTCTGTCAAAAAAAGACAAAAATACCTAATCATTAAAAAAAAATATGTAGCACATTCGTTTTTTTAAAACTTACCATATTTTCCCGATCCTAAACAAGATTTTTGTGGAAAAAAAAAAAGAATAGATAAGAATGATTTTTTTTCGGAATGTTAAAAGTGGGATACAGTTAATTAAGTGAAAAACTAGTATAAAAAAATAACATCATGTATTCTACAATGTATAATAGACATAAGACATTCCAGCCTATGACTTATTATATACAGAATCAAGTCAAACATATCAAAAGATATATACCTGAAACTATAAATTATATTGAGAAAGTTTTAATTATCCATAATTCAAAATCTGTGTTGTGGATACAGAAACAATTTGTTAGAACCATGTTTTAAACCATGGAATAAACGTGTGGTTCTTTTAATTGCCATTTACACATTTCTATTTCAAATTAATGAATATTCACAGTTATATTTTCAGCTTGTTGATCATAGTAGTTCTTTTGTAGAATTTATTTGTTTAAATCTTATTTCATTAGTTTACTTGAATTTTGATCATGTGAATAAATAACCTCGTCAATTTTTAAATACAATGATCTTATGAATAAATACGTAAGTAATATGTCGGTAAATACAATCACATTGAATTAAATTAAAATACAGCAAACTTATTTTCAAATTATTTGACAGCTTTATCTAGTATAAGAAGATGGTTTATCATCAATCGATTTTGAGTGAGAGACAAAACACTATGTAAAAGAGTCATGGGAAAAAATATATAGTCTGTCAATTGTCATCAATAGAAGACCTAGTAGGACTATATATATCGAGGCAAGTTACCACACTTCATGTCAACATAGCAAGATGGAAAATTAAAAAGATGCGAAACAAAGAAAAGATTATATCGACTGCAATGAAAATCTAAACGTTAGAAAGGATAAAATAAGATTAAAGAATGATAATGTTACATATAGTGAAAAATTTTGGGCTACGTAATTTTAACGTCTCCAACCGTTAGAGAATTCACGACAGTTATGTGAGGCCTAACCGGAAAGTTTGGGTAGTTAATGGCTTTTAGGATTAATGTTATTCACGTCGTAATGTGCCTACACCAAACACATTTTTAACGTGCTCCTATATCGACTGACAATGGACATTAAGGTAGGTGGTAGAGAATAAATACAAAATTGTTACATAAAGGATAATTGTTAGGTTGTATTATGTCAATAAACAAGCTTCTTATTCGTGAGCCCAGATGGCTAGTTGAGTGAGGACGTTTTTGGTTGACTCGCCGAAATGAGAAATTATATATAGTCCCTCGAAACTTAAACTATATTTATACACCGATGGTGTGTATCTCATGCTTTAGAAAAGGTAGACACATGAGAAATAAATTTAATTACAAGGAAGTGTGTGATTATTACTACTATTTTTTAAAAATCTGATACAAAGTATCTTGCAGATAAATCATGAACATAGTACTGGACATTATGATAGAAGTGACTAGTTTACAAGTTGAGGTTATCACTAGCGAACATTATCAGTATTCAGTGAATAATATCAGATTAAAAGTCACGGGGTCATCACTAACGAGAGGGCGGTAAAATCATATTTTCTACTCAAGACATTAAGAAAGTAATAAAGCTACATAGATCTTTTTTTCATAAACGGTAAACGACTGAGAAACCATTAAAAAGTAAGTGCCAGTGAAGAGCCTTCTAATGATAGTTTGAGAGTGGTTAAAAAATTGGGCATAACTATGAAGTGCACAGGATCTTTGGAGTACTACGTCATTCAGCGACCAGGCTGAAATTCAATGATATTAAATGATGCTCATGCTGTTTGTTAACATCTTCAGTTAGATACTGTTTGAAGTCATGAGTACGTTCAGCTGGAAACTTTCAACTTACAGAGCGTATCGTACTATCCAGCTACCAAGTTTGGAATGACATAATCAACACTTTTATTCTTGGTTGAAGTGAAGAATTCTTAACTAAAAATGTGCGGTATTCCAATAGATCCCATATTAACGTATATATAATATTTAATTATTCACTAAATACGTATGAAAGTATATGTCAACAACGTATGTCAGTCATTTCATCTTCAGTTATGAAATTTTTGATTATTTTCGTACCTCATGATAAATTGAATTAGTTGATTCCAGAACACACCTCGCTTCTTCAAAGAACAGACAGGAATAAAAACGTGCCAACTGTTGTAATTTTCCTGGCTCTATCTTACTGTAATGAGTATTATGATAAGTTGTAGACCGCTTAACAAACTGTATTAATTCATTTTGTGATTTAAGTACACAGATAATTTTCTGAAACAAATTTAAAGGGATCTTTTTTGTAGTAGCTACAGTTTTAAAATCGGTGTTTAAGAGCTTGAACATGTAATATAATCCATTAAGTATCATTAACCTTCAATACCACATCAGTCGACAACAGACCGGTATGAAAACACTGGGTTAAGCTATAATTATAACTTTCGTTTATCGACCAACATTTGTATCTATAATGCCGCATTCAAACCTTAGAAATAAAATAAGTAAGCACGAAATAATACAGTATGTACATTTCAAGCAACTCCACAGAACACATAAAAAAAGATGACTACTAACCAGTAACATTTTTACGAAATGCAATGTATGAAGTCCAATCATCTTTGTGATATAAATCCAATAACTGTCTTAAATCAGCAAAAATTAACCAAAGAGTAGTACGATCTAGGCCTGGAACAGGTTGTGAACGTGCAAATGATTCACACAAAGACAGATCAATACTTAATTGTTGAAGACCCGTTTCAGAAAGAGAACGCACCTAAAATATAAAGTAAATGCTGTAAGAAAATAAAAGGAAATCTTGTAAAAAAATAAAACCAAAAAGGTCTACACCATGGATTGAAAATTCATGGTAAAAAAAAATACAGAAGTCTTGAATTATACAACGTAATATTAATTGGTATTTTAACAATAAGTGGTATATATAAGTCTGAAAAATTGAAATTTAGAGAAACTGATCATTTTTATGAAAATCTTTAGCAAGCCAGTTTGACAAAGAACTTAGAAACACTAAGCAACCTTATCTACATGAAGTAAACACAGATAACATGTTCCTATTTGGTGAAGACTATGGCATACTGCAGAGTCGCCCGAACGCATTGAGTAACAATGCAAGTAGGTTTGGGATCTATTTGTTTTCATCTAAAGGCAGTGTTACTTCAAGAGTAGTCTGTGTCATCCTTGAAACTAATTTTAGAGAGTATAGTAGCTGAGTGCATTGAACACTAACTTGGAAGTTTAATTAGCCCCCGTAGGTTGGCGTTTGACGAAATCTCAACACGGATACAAAAAGATAAGCTGGCTTTTTCCATCTTGCGTCATTTGTGGAGTAGTCGAGGTCCCCGGTCTCTAACAAAATGATAAGTATAATATACTACACAGTAGTTTGTTTTGTGCTACTCTATGGCTGTGAAATGTGGCCTATGAAAGCAAAAGACATGTTTAGGCAATCCGATAACCATGATTAATGGTTGGAGACTTCGAGTGACATTGTTAGAAATCAGTTATGATGGAGATGCATCAGCTCTTAACCTTCCACCACATCTTGAGTTCCAATATTCTGTATATATACCTTTCGATTCCATCTCATAGCACTTCATTTCCAATGTTTAGTCTCTTTCTCTATTAATACTACTACTGTCATGTTAATATTATTTTATTGTGTTTTAGTGCAATAAGTTCTTCTTAGGGCTCTACGCTGATTATGAACGTTTGAGACCTTAAATATTACAGATGTCAAACAGACAGCAACTAAACATCGAGTTATCAAATAGTATCCTCTAATTTTGAGACAACATTGAAAAACTAATAATTGTAAGTCTAGGTCATTAAACAATGAAACATTGATTACCAATACGGAATTTTAGCGTATATTCTAATCAAATTATTCAACTGAACATGTATAAACAAAATTTATCTGAATCGAAACAGTGAAGTTGATTAAATTATACAAATATCAATTGATTATAACAAAAAGAATAGTTTAATCTGTGTATGCAAAACAAACATTGGTGCGCTTGAGATATATGCATAAATTTGAGCAACTTCCAATACGGATGATAAACAAAAGCAAAAATTATCAAATAGGGTCAAAAGTATAAAACTCCAACGGAATATGATATAAACAATGCATATATACGGTCGACCCTTTTTTTATTCCTCTCTGTGTATTATATATATACATCTGAATAAGTTTAGCCCCAATAGACTTCTTTCCTCACTCTTTGTCTCTTCTCTCGAGTGGTTAGGTTTGTGGGGAAGTCATTTGCGTATAACTGTCTGTCACTTAGGTAATTAAGCCTATCAGTGGTTAATGTCTCATCCTTTGAAAAAATCAAGATATTTGTTGAGCCTATCACGTCCACGTGTCATTTGGAATTCTCTGAATGGCCCAATATAGTAATGTATATACATACATATACTTTTTAAAGAAATTTGTGTATTTTTAGGATAGATTTCACGAAAAGAGCACTTAGAAAGCAAACATCATTTGATAGCTTCTTGTTGCATTCTAATTCTATAATATGGCTGAGGTTGTAGATAGAAAACAATGTATTTTGCCTTAATATTTTAAAAGTATTTGTTGACTACGCAGCCTGGATATCTTCGGTTCAATCATGTGTGGGATTACGGTTTTGTATGGTTGCGTACAGAGTACTAGACTAAAAACGAAACTGGTTTCATGCTTTCTGCTTTTTAATATTTCTGTAGTTGTTTTTATTTCATAAAAAAACTGTGTTGAAAAGTTAAAAAATAGTTTATTGCCTGCGATGAACAGCTGTCTTATATTCCACATGGTTGAACTCCATTGATCATGGTTTTACTCTAACGCTGAGTGTAAGAAAATTATCTACAACAAGCGAAGGGAAATAGTCGCAAAATATTGTGGACTGGTTGACGTTAAACATACATACTAGTGGATACTGATTCAATGGTCTAAAGGTTATTCATTTGCGCACGAAATTGAGGGCGCTAAATAGCACTAGAGTTCATTAAACAATGATCAGTCACTTTACCACTAAATCTCAATTATGTGTACTTAAAGTATGGCACAACAACAGATGGTATAAAAAGTTCTCAATGCTTAAAATTTGATAACCTTTACGTTTATTTTTACCAATTATAACAAAAAAAAGAATTACGAAGATGATTTAGTTAAATTGTCAACACATATAAACTTACTTGAGAACCAAATAAAACATCATACAATAAACGAGCAATATGTTTACAGACTGATATACAAGCAGTTTGAGCGATTTTCGGCGGAAGATTTGAAAATGAATCGAACACTGATTTTAACCACGATGTTAAATGTACAATATTTTCAGTTGGTTTGATTTTTGTATTAGTAACATAACTTACACCATTACGTCCATCAACAGTTTGAGAATTATTTAATAATTGATCATTTTTATTGGTATTATTGTTAGTATGACCACTATTATTATCATCAGTATCATCATAGTTACTTAAATTAATGAATTTCGCAACATTATCCTTTAAATGATTACAAATTTGATCTTCAACCAATACACGTATATCTTTAAGTAGTGATGCACCTTGTAATCGGCTACGTGGTGGATTAGCTCCAGAGTTTAGCGTAACTGATGCAGTCATATCTGAATCTGCACGCTGATTATCCTGAACAAAAAGATTTTACAAGAACTAGAATTTTTTTAAACGTAAATCTAATAATTAATTTTTAAAAAGTATTTGAAAACAGAATGACATTGGAATTCAGGCCAGAATGTTTGTGAGAGAAATATATGTGAATGACAGGTAAAATTAAATATAAAAGAATTAGGGAGTATTGGATTAGTGATTAAAACAATCGACGTTTAACCGGTGAATTGTGGTAGGAACCTGGCTATAACTTCTTCAGTTTAAATAATACGGTAGCATAATTATCTTTAAAACAATATCATGTGGTTTGCAATGAAGTACAGGAATTTAAACTTGATAAATAGGCAACATTAGAGAAAATTAAAACAATAAGTGATCTAAGACACGGTGATGTGGAACAATGAAGAAAGTCTTAAATAATTGTAAATATCCCACTTTGTAACACTAGCTGGTTGAAGAGCTTTTTTCTGAAACTTTAAACTTAGGTGAATATATACTGAAAATTTATCATGAAAATAAAATACGCTGTAAACCGAATAGTCTTCGTTATTATAAAGTATCATGCACTGACACAATGTGATCCTCAAGACGTGAATGTACAGTAATAGTACAGTCATACAGTAAACAATATGATACGAAAATTTCGTTAACTGAAATTCCTCATATTTGTACCACCTCATTAACGAAACAAATAAATCCATAAAAAAGTCCGGTGGTTAACTATATTCATTAACTATTAAATAGAGTTTAATAATTTGTGTTAATAACCTAGGATACCGTATTCTTCGGATTTCTCGATGCTTTTTGATCAACATACGTCTTTAAATGCTATTTTCCATTTCTCATGTCAACAATCTGAATGAAGTAGACGATGATAGTGTTATCAAAAACAACAATAAAAGCTTTGTCATTAGACCATCTGTTTCAAACTACATATCACCAAAATATACAAGTTTCAGTTAGTTATAAACAGTATAGAGTATGTAACAAACGTGTATCAACATATAACACTGGTATAAAAACATATAAAAAAGACAGAAATAATACGGTAGCAATGATCATAAGAAAGACTGAACATTGAGAAGATAGTTCGAAAAGACAGAATGACTGGGTGAAAATGAAGCGATACTAAAATTTGAGATCTGGGGGAGGATAAAGAGAGAATGCAGTACTGTGTCACTGTGAATTAAAAAAATTTAATCGAGGTCTCAAATCACTGGCTGAAGTTGTCGATTGGACAGGTATGTTTAATGTTAAGTGGTTGGAAATAATAAGTAGAAAGTTCTAGGTTTAGATCCACTGTGACTTTAATCTCCATTACAGACAGAAGCGTCGTCGCTGTGCTATTCAAGAACCATCTGATTCACTATTGTAGGACTAGGATATTTTTATGCTGATTTATTAATGATTAATTATCAATTTCAATATTTTACAAAGTGCTTAACCCTAATATAATTATACATGCCGATTTGTAATATATACAGCTATGCAAAGTAGCGTGACATGACAAGAATGAATAAGTTGACCAAACTTCACGTTATCTGTTTGTCTTGTTGTTTTCGGTAGTTAAAATATCAACGCAATTTAATTGGCGTGCAATACTTTTCAAACAATTAACAGAATAAACTAAAACCTTTAGAAGTATCACTTCTGAATCGAGTATAAAAACCATTCACTGATATTTTGATGGGTTTTTTTTGAATATTCACTATAATGTAAGGAATCTCGGTGTATTACTTTCTAACATTTACGAAATAATGCTTATGATGATGCTTATTCAACAAATAAAAAGCGAAATGCTAAGAAAATTATTCCTAATTGCTCAGTAGTTACAAAACACTATTAGCATAATGTAATCCTACGAGTATCGGTTTTCAGTGTTATTAGAGATGATCACTACTACTGTCCTCATTGTTATTGTGTTGGGTATATGTATTTGGTACCCCCTTGAACCAATGTTTATATGTTCCAATAAATCAATGATAACTACTACTGAGGTTGTCGATTTGTTAACACCTTATATTCGACGCCTTACCACTGAATATGGAAATCAGATAAGCGAGCTGAGATATGCTACATTCAAAGTTGATATTTCCTAATCCCCCATTTCGTTATCAGAAGGAAGCATTGCTACAGAAACCGGTTGTTTGAAGGAAACACCTTAATGCTGACACACACTAGTACAGCCAGCAGAATGATTTTGTTCTCGGACCTGAAGTTGATGCCTCGAAACTTATCATTCTCCAACAGACAAGCCTGGGATGGTAAGATCTAAAGGAATAAGTGTTCCAACCAATAATACTCAACTAGGTCATTGTGATATCCAAGACCGAACACCATAGCAAGGTAGTAGCCCCAATCGGGGTCCTATAAGTGTAGTAACGATTGTTATTAAATGTTTTATGACGTACGGTGGCGCGACTTCGTGGATTGGTTGAAGTTAGACATTAACACCGTTGGATGCCGGCTCAGTGGTCTAATGGTTAAGTGCTCGCGCGCGAAGCCTGGGTTCGAGCCCCGCGTGGTGCGGGATCGTGGATGCGCACTGCTGAGGAGTCCCATACTAGGACGAAACGGCCGTCCAGTGCTTCCAGGTTTTCAATGGTGGTCTAGCTTTAACTGACTCATGATTTAAATCTGTGAAAATCAGCAAAAACTTATAAGTCTTTTCTAAATGTAATATCTAATACATAAGATAGAGAAACTTACCCTAATCATTGCGAAATCTTTTAGACGACCACTGGTTATACTTGAAGCCTCATCTAGCAAGGTGTATTGAAGATAGTTATCCAAATGCCCACAAACTGTTTCTAACTCATCCAAATTTATACAGAATTGCGTAAGTCGAGGTAATTGACGTAAAGATGAACGAACGCCCGAAGTTAAAACTGTATTTAAACATTGACTGAATAGGAAATTTGTAGCACGATTAATTGTATCCTCTAGTTCTGTGTATGCTAAATCCATATTTTCACAAAACCGATAACACAAATTAATGTATTCACGAACAGTCTGATAAATTTTAGGTACCATCCATGAAAAGCACAACTGTTTAGGAAATGGAAGTTCAGAAAACTCAACTGTATCGCCTGGTGGATACATTTCAAGAAATTCAGCTAACTGTTCCGAATTTGATATTTTAATTGTTTCATAACTATCTTCTGCAATTATTGTTTCAAATCTACAAAAAATTGTGTCAACACAGAAAAAGTTTATTTGAAGAAGAATTGTAATTCAAAACAAATACAGTGATAAAGTCGTTTCAAAAAGGTTTAGACTTATTGAAACACTTATCTTCAATGAGACTGTATGGTGATCGCACTATAACTCGAATTGATTGAAGTTGGAATTATACCATTGGATGTCAGCTAATTATAGTGACTACATATTTACCGCTAGAACTAAATGCCCCGGGTTTGATCCTCGGTGGCATTGTTAGCGGACACAGCTCAAAAGTTCAATACTGAGAAAGAAAAGCTGTCCAGTGATCCCAAGTTTTTAAGAGTTCACCAAAGAAAATTAATCTGCAACGAACGTTACCTACGAAAAAGATTTTTTCTATATAAATCTCTTTTGGGTTAATCATATGCCAAAAAGACTACAAAATATCGGTGACAATTTTGAATCAATATTTACTAATCAACTTGAATGAATTCAGCACGTCAGGACTATTGAAGCTGATTTGATTTAAATAACACTTGGTACTAAAGAACATAGCAAGTTTTAAGCAAAGATATATGGTGGCTAGCAGTAAAATCCGTTTGGGACTCATCAGCTGGATGTACTTGCATCCCAGAGTTGATATTCACTCCGGGACTCAAACCCAGTACTTTTAACTTCAAATGCTATCAAGTTATACATTCAGTAGCAATAGTTCATTACCAACTTAAAAACGTACAGCTAATGTTTCAATTCGCGTCTCATATGGGCAGAAAAGCAAGAACATGAGTCTGCTGAATCAGAGATGATAAAACCTCATATTTAAAGCTATCCTATCTCTTTTGCACTTAATAACTATATTGTACAACCATACTTGAAAGAAAAACAAAGTAGAGCTTTATAAGAGAATAATTTAGAGGCCATGTCGAGACTAAATTCATTTTTCGCTAGGAGTTTGTGATCACACATCTTATCATAATCATAATCTCAAAGCTAATACAACTATTTAGAATACCATATCCGTAAGCATAACTAAGAAACTGGTTTATTTGATGAGACTAACTGTATTAGTCAATTTTATCTAATTGGAATGAGGGATTGCTGCCGCATAATAGAACCACACAGTAAGTAACGCTGGGGTTGGTCATAGGAGACCTGAATAATCAACAGATGAAACCTAAAAATTTCATCAATTAGTTTAGTCAAGAAATGTTATGGAATAAATAACCACTGTCTACCTCGATGTGTAATACAGACCAATAAAAAATCAGGTTGGACAGAAGTTAGGGGGCTCAGGAAGATCAGGATACAGCATCGACCCATGAAATCTGAGGTATATCAGTAGGCATAATTTGCGTACTTCACAGTCGGAAACGTTACACCAATGCAGAGTTTTACCATGTTCTATGTCGGCTATTACTGATTGAATGAAACTGAACTTTAACAATGAGATATTGATGCTAACCATCTTAGCTTACATTGATGGTGAAGGTTGAAAATTTCAGATTGTCAAAATTTATATATATGACTATTCCTGTTTCATATAAAATAATTTTGACAAGTAAATATGTGATTAAATCACTCAAAAATTGTACCCATTAGAAGACATGAAATATCTGAAAGTGACTTTGGTTTTTGACAGTATAAATAGAAAATACATGATACATTAAGTGTTTGTCTTTACAGTTTATCTGAAGTAGAATATTGTGGCATGTATGTTTATTTTAGGTTAAAAATGGGATTCAATAATCATGAATAAAAACAGCAGACTACTTCTGAAAAGCTATCATAAAATGGAAGTGAAATGGTGGAGATCTACAGCTTAGGGGGGTGATTTTAGTGGAATTCGGATCCATCAACTGACAGAGCGAAGCTCCATCAAAATAAGGTGGAAATAAAGAATCTTGATACAATGGTTTATAAAGAGTTGATTAAAAAAAGATATTTCAGAAATTAAGTTGCTGTAAAATTATTTTTCAAGCCTTATAGCATAAATACAGTGTACCTGGGAGTGGAATGCATGACGAGCACGTCTCGTTTTGTTTGAGACCCATCATGTGTATATATCTGTATCTTCACGTAGATCCTCAAACTGAGGCTAGAGCTAAGTAACTTCCACTTCGAATGACATGTTTTTCCCCGGGTTAGTGAGTTCAGATAACCACATATATCACAGTACGTATTATTACGGTGAATTTATAAATACTGCTGAACGACTTTAAAATTTTAACGCGTTTTAGTTAAGCAGAAAGCAACAAAAGTAAATGAATAATTTCTAACAGAAAATGAAAGAATCTACTGAGAATATATTAGATTAACATAAATGAGAGATCTTTCAAAGTGGATCATAGGGACTCGAAGTCTAGCACATAAAATATGGTGCCCTAACCTTAATTCTAACACTATAAATTTTGCAATTAGGATTAATTAAAATGGAACACAAATACATTTCGTAATTTTTGTAAATCAGTTTATCGTTCACTCTCAGCATTCACGTATTGGTATTTTCGTGAATATTACAACGCTTTGAAAATATATTGTTATATTTACCTTGGTGAAATTTGTCATAATGCGATCCAACCGTTAGATTCACACTTATTGTTAACTAAACGACCCCCGTGACTACATAAGTACCATAACCTTGAAGTTAGTTACGTGTCCCTGATTGGTTTGGGAGTATTTCGTAGGATACTTTTTATTGCTGGCAAGACTACTAATGATTTCGTTGTTGATATTCATGACTATTAACAAGGTCAAACCAAAATTTAGTTCTGAATATCAACAACTTAGTGATTCTTAAACTCACAATAGTTTATTGGATCTTTATAATTCCCTCCCAGTTTCAAATTTATTTATTTAAACACGTAAATATTGGTACAAGGAGGCACAAAACAGATACGCATCACAAAAATTATTCCGTTTGCATGAGGGATGGGATACTGCTCGGTTGCCCAAACCGGAGCACATGGTTTTCTTAAAGGACCACACTCAGAGCCTTCGACCTAATGGTCTAATCCACAAGGCAGTGGGGCAGTCCCGTGGTAGCTGGTGATCAAAAATAGGCTTATATGCCAATCGTTCCATCGGTATACGGGAGCCCATGTGCACCATTGGTTTGGAATCAGGGTTTTCCAACTCCCCTGGGTAGACCCTTCGTGTCCACTAACCCGGTTCGCTTTACTTTCTCTCAACTCCCTAAACAACACACCCACCGCGAGAAGACAATGAGTAGGACTTCAATGACAGTGGTTATATGCACATATCTATGTGAGAGCACTTCGAGAGAGAGCTGACCCTCCCCATCCTCGGCCGTATCAATGATTTAAAATTTTTGAAAGTTAATATGCTCCCCTAAAAGAAAGTGTCTGCTTTTCATGAACAGATAATACAATGGAAGAAAAAGTAGTGACATATTTTTCAGGATTGACTGGAAACGAATTACCGACATGACTATTTTTATTGTAGGGTTTCTCGAGTTTTTTTTCCGATCCCTTTTTTTCTTTTTCAACATTACGGTGCTGCAAAAATCGGTTAAGAATGTGTACGTGGTGTTACACATACACAGGAAGGACAAATTGTGATCTGCAAGTAACGACAGTTGAGTGCGTACCTAAGTGGGCTACAGAAAGAGACTGTATGAGAACAAGTCAAACTAGATTATAATAAATCATGTTTTTCAAGACACAAATCCCCTAAACCAATTAGATATGCATCTACTTCTAAGTAAACCTCAATAAAATATCTCAAATCTAATTCAACTGACTAAATCATAAATAGCTAATTATAAAAGAAAACTGATCAACTTCACTGAACTCTATGCTCAAGCATTATTTACATTAACAGAAATGTCTGTAGTTTGACGTTGTATCCGAAAGAAGATTAAAGTATGGGGAACTTCAGTGAACTATTTATAAACTGTTATTATATGTTCTTATTATTTAACTATTAAGTAACTAGATTACATATATTTATATTTCTTTTATTATAAATTTTCATTTGAATTATTAGCTAATATTATACGATTTACTATTCTCAAGGTATTTTCAATCTATTAGTTAAAGTCTCCCGCACTCACAGCGACTTTTGGCTTGATCCTGTATAATTATTACATTTCATTTCATGGTATGATGCGATCTAATTTACTTGTATATAAACCACTTATGTCTGAAATATACGATCCATATGATGGAGACTGATATTTGTGTTTTGGAACCGAACGGATTGTGTTAGGCGAGAAGCTATAAAACAGAGGACCAATAAGAACTCAGAGTTGACTCAGGGTTGCTCGTGCTGATTAGCGTATCATTAGTTTAGCACAGTGACTAGGTTATGTAGGTCGGTGTTTTGACTGGCAAATTTGTCACATGATATTTGATGTGGCTTAGGATATAATATTTGCCGTATTAAATTCATCAGTTTTTGCAGTACCATCACATCAAAAAAGAAAAAATGATCGGGAAAAAACTTGAGAAACCCGACAATAATAATCATTTCAGTAACTCGTTTCCACTCAATCCTGACAAATGTGTCACTAATTTTTCCTCCATTGTATTATCTACTCGTGAAAAGCAGGCACTTTCTCTCGAGTTTTAATATTTCCATCTCAATGATACAAATATCTATGTTGGCAATCAATACTCAGTTTGGAAATCTTTATGATCAACTGATTAAATGCTGCGCTCCTTCGTCTTTAGATAATCAAAACCGGCGTAGAGCCGAATTGTTGGATGTGGTGTGTCAATTTCATATTCTTTAATCAAATTAGACAAGCATATTAAATTTTAAGCATTTCAAATCACTGCCTCGACGTGCGATATTCAGTGGTATAGGAGCAGGTTGGAAGAAAGCTAAGGGCGGCCACAACAAAATATTGCACAAGTCCATGAAGTCACTGACAAGTGGTCTGAGTCATATCGGTAGGTGTAGACTACCTGGTTGGGGACCGCGAGATGATAGCAACCGATGATTAGAGACCCTGAATGACATGGCTCAAAATCGTTTGCAATGGTGCAGGTGCATACACTCTTTGTGTTCTCCCAAATTTTGATCTCCTCATTCCTCCTTGTCTTTTTTTCTCTTCCCAAATTTATTTCACTGTATTATACTCTTTAAGTAACATCTCCAAACACTAATCTTCCCGACTACTGCTTATACTCTTATTACCTCTACCACTACGGGATTTGAATTGACCACTGCATCTCTGTGCTAATGTGGTATGGCAACTCGAACTGATGTACGTACGTACGAAGTTCTACGTTGTTACTGACTGACTGAAAAAAATTACGAAATAACCCTGATAGTATCTAGATCAATTAATGTTTTTTTTCCAAATGAAATAAAAAAGTAAAGATATGAATTATAAATTTGGCGAGACTATACTTTATGGACGAAATCATATGTATGATGATAGATCAAGGCGCGAAATTCGTTTATCCATTTGGCCAAATAGAGTTTTGGCATTTTAGCTTATGTGAGATCATGATGAAATCGCTAAATTTATACCCTAACCCTAGCCATCAACTGTAAATCTTAATTCTAATTTCTACACTGGTTTATAACCATCAATTAGTCGTAGTTAGTAGATGGACATTCTAAAGGTCATTTTAACGTCACTCAAAGGTCATTTATAATTTATAGTCTCATTATAAATTACGAGTATATGTAAACGCTTGTTTCCTCCCTCGAAATCGCAGATAAACGTTTCATTTCTATTTGCTATTACAGGTTTAAAGCATATAATTCCACACAACTTTACCCATAATTCATATTCTTCAAAAGAAAAGTGAAAAAAGTATGACTATTAAGAAGACTTAGAAACATGTAGTTTTTCTTTCTTTCTGCTAAAAACAGTAGGAAGTAAGGAAAGAATCTCGCAGTAATTTTTTTGCCTTCATATTTTCTCAATGATCATTGATAGTATCTGATTGGCTATTTTGCATTTAATTTACTATACATCTCAAGGTAATATTTGTTGCTATATCTACAAAGTTATTTGATAATTTTAACTTTTGTTGGAAATATAAAAGCTCTTCTGAAATTCTCATTCTCTCTCTCTCTCTTATTTGTAAATGTATTATTAATATTGAAGTGTTATAGTGTATTGGTCATCCGACTTATCTAGTTCGTGTAGATTCTGATTCATATTAGAAGGATATCCCAATCGTTTATAACTCGTAACTATGGTAGTTTACTGCAAAATGGGACAATAAATAATCACTATATTCAGACGTTTAAATAACAGACTAGCAATATTATATGTTTCATAGAAAGAATTTTTCAAATTAATTTCACTTACTTAGACTTCCATTGACTAGCTAATAGTCTATGATAGTATCGCTGAACAATACCAATTGTTTCAATTAGACCAGTTATTGGGAAGCCTAAATTTTGCATAGTTCTTTCAAAAATAATTAAATAATCTTTTAATTTAATTAAATCATTTGGTGAATCACATGATTTTGCATTAACATGCACAAAATCTATTAAACGATTCATTGTATGTACCCATAATTCATCTAAATATGTTTGATAAAATACTGATGAACCAGATAATGTATGACGAATAAAATCATCAACTACAAAAAATCCACAAATTCCACTGAAAAATTCACCATAATTACGCATTTCGACCTGAGGACAAAAAAGAGAGGATAAAATTGGATTATGAGAAATAAATGGATGTTAGACAAGTTACTTAGAGTAGATGTACAGTGGCTGGCAATGTAATCTAGAAAGTGTGTTTCATTTTATTTGCGATGAACCTATTTCTCAGTAGCTGAATGGATAAATATATATAGAAAATATCTCTTTCTTACAGCCTGTTTTCAATCTAGCGAGCTCTGTTACTTTACTGGTTCACCGTCAGTTCTTTTTCTGAAAAGTTCCTGGATTTACCAAATTCAAATTAAGTGCTATTATATATCTCTTCAATTTAGAAAAATTATTACTACCAATCGAAAGTGATTATAATTTGTCTGATACTTGAATCGTATATTAATACACGTAAATCGAATTTAATATAAAAAATGTTTATGATAACACATATTATACAAGATGGTTATTTACAATGTACTGGAAGACTAGACAGGCAGACAGATAATAGACAGGTGGTGCATGGCGTAAATGTGTTTTGATCTAAATAACCACATTTTACATACACTACACAATGGCACAAAGAGAGGAAAAACTAAAAATAACACAAGAAACGAAAAAGTGAAGGAGGAGTGAAAAAAACGAGAAAAAAGTAGTGACCGAACAAACTGAAGGAAGTAAAATTACTACTGTATTTAAGATTTGAAGTAGAATAACAAAATAGCTAGTTAATAAGTCTAATCATCAATGATTGATCATTTTGATGTATCCATAAAACATAAGCTTCCGCATCTGATCGCTTCTATGTGGATCTACAAGTTCACGTGCTCTTGTGGAGCAAAGTACATTGGCCGTAGCCAGCGCTCGCTTTCAACTCGGATACGGGAACATATCCCAGCTTGGTTCTATAAAGATTATTTATTTGAAATATATATATCCCAAACTAACCAAAACAAAAAGTAACCAATGACAGGTTTAAGGTCAACAATAACCAATCAAGATCGACGTCTACACGACAAACTGCGAGTCACATGTGGAGAAGTTCGAACACTTCACTTCTACTTGAAGTTTGTGCTAATAATGTCGTTCAGAATAACGATGAAAGCTCCACGACCAAACCAACCAGCTCAGAGAACAAAACTCTATCAAAATCATCCACCTGAGCTACAAATCTTCTCCACCATCTCTCAGGATAGCAAACATAACACGTATTCACAAACCGAATTACAGTGAATTGTAATTATTTTAGAAAAAAAGCAAATTATATTGCAGATTTGTAGGTAACCGGCAAGAAAATTTATACCTATATTATATGTTAGCTAATTTCTATCACAATGAGGTGTATCACCATTTTGAAGAAATCAGAATTAATTCACGAGATTGATGCTTGAATCTTCAAAATACATTGGTAAAGACTTTAATACTGAACTGCTTAAGTCACATAGCAAACTTGGATTTAAGCATTATTCCGTCAGTACTAAGAATTTGTTATATCTTGTGGCCTTGTGTCCTATTAATATATAACGTAATGATACCGTCGATTAGAAAACAGTGAATTATCAACCGAACAAATGATGCCTAAAACCCGTACGAGCAGTCTAGATTCCTTATCGGTCCTACTTCCCACCTAGCACTGCCTGAAAGAGTCCAGAACACCAATATCAGACTCCGTGATATGAATCATTTATTTCAAACATACTGGGTTTATTTACAAACCAAACAGATCACATCGCACCATAAAATAGAAAATAACATTTGTACAAGATTTAACCAAAAGTGGCTGTGAATGTGGGAGGTAGTAACTGATAGACCAGGCATAACTCAAGAATGTTAAATCGTATAATAATGAGTTAAAACAAAGCTTATGATAATAGGAACATGCATAGTTTAGCTACTTAATAAATATACAATAAAAATATATGTATCGTATTGATCTATAAATAGTTCTTGAGTGTTACCATTCATAATTCTTGTCGGGATATAACAATTAAATAACAAAATGTTAATATTTAACTATTTATTAATATATTCTAGTAACAATGATTATTAATAATATTGACAAATGAATTACAATAACAAAATTCATTTCATTCATGAATTGTTATCAAATATATCACAATTCATACCTAAACTATAAGACTTTCACTTCAAATGATGAAAGGGTAACGAACAGATTTTATTAAAGAAATATAGAACCATTTAACTATTTCTATATACATAGTTTAATAAAATATTTTAATAATAATTCTTATAAGCCGGGCGGGAGATGGGGTAAGGTTACTTGTTTGACAACTGAGTCTTTTAAACTGGATGTTAGCATTGAGTTCATTTTAATATTAGTTGATGTAGTACGGAGTTAATTTGAAAACGTTAGAAATATATATATTCAAGTAATTCTAGTATAATATTATCGACTATTTAGCGACAAGCACTATTACTTGATCTTAAATTTTATAATATACGAACTAAAATTAATGATCATTATTTAGTATTTTCAATAATATTGACTTAAATAAGTAAAATTAGATGGTTTTACTTATAGATTTCATATAATTTATTAAATGTATGCTAATTAGACTGTAAAATATTAGAATGATAATGAGTATTTCCAGCTTGAAAATCATCAATTCATGTGATGACAAACAGTCCTCATTTAGAATGTAGATATACATACATATGTGTTATGTCCTACAACCGACCAATAAGCGTAGACGACCTTAAGCAATTAATACAAAACTAGGACAAGGCGATCGATAGTCGATAATGATGCTTGACCCGACACCAACTAGACTCGAACGAAGAGGAAGAATAGAAGACTAATGATCATCAGTTAAAGATCATTATTATATTTCAAACATGCAAGACCAGAGGGCACAGTAGACCAATTGAATAACAGCATTAACACCGAATAACGAAATGAATGATGGAAAAAAACGGAGAACTGGGTACGAAAATAATCGGTTTTAGTTTATTAGTGGAAAATACCATAACAACAATGTACGGTTCGAATAGATACTTGTTGTTACGGTAATATGAAAATAATAAACCCAAAATATTTATTAAGCATTCAATCAATATATACATAAATAAAATTGTACAAAAGTAGCATCGAAAGTTTTCATCTCATCTCATACAACAACAAGCATGAAAATATCACAACGTGTTTTGATGATTGAGCGAATTCAGATAACAAGTTTTAGTGTAAGAAAAAAAGGTGAAGCGAGAAAAGTATTTCAGTAGTAGCTTTTTATAAAAAAAAGACCCGTACATGATAAAATCAACTAATAGCCTGGGTTTAGAAGAGCAACCAAGACCATTACTTCAAAAGAAGACAAGCTAAGAGAATGCGAGAATATAACAACATAATAATTTTCTGGAGGAATATTATTAAAACCATTGTAAAACAAAACCATTTTTCTGTAAAATAACAATCCTAAAGAATGATTTTGGATTGATACTGCGGTTTTACCTTACCGCCAAGATACAACAGAAGAATCAAAAGGGATATTGAAAATTTACAACATTAAAACCTTCTACTAGATAACTAACACTCTAAGAAACGCTTTAGTTAGAATAAAAGATTCCATTCACTTCTACACAAAATTGTGTTTACAGGTTAGATTGTGTCAACTGTGATGCCGACTTGTGCCAAGGAACACTCAAGTTACACAAAAAGACCTACTAATAATACTGTAAATTCGGATAATTTACAAAATAAGTCAACAATACCAGTATATGCTATTTTTAATAATCGCCAAACATATTAAAAAAATCAAAATAACTCAGAAAGGTTTTCCCAACTATAATGAGAGGTGAGTAGACGAACCGTTTCATATAATGCTAAATTATTCTACCTGAACAGGAAAGAAAGTCTGAATATTCATTCAATCTGGATTGTTTATACAAGCAACCACATTAGACCATATTTATTTCCACACAATCTACACATATATATATATACATCTAATCCCAGTCTCACTACTTAATACTACAAATGCATACACTTTTTTATACCCACCTTTTGACGTACAAATTAATACAGTGACGGGTCATACAAATTCAACTTGACCAAAAATAACCTGGCACCGACATGTTCAGACCGATTATGATTTTCATTACACTAAAAATATTCTGCATTGTTTCCTTTGTACTATAGAAACTTTTGTTACTTTAATTTCGGTTATTAATTTAGTCTGAAGAAGTGGATTAAATGAAATCACGAAACGCCGGAAATATAATTTATGGACCAATATTATACGTATATTTCTATCGTATGATTGTTAAGTAACTAAACGATTCATAACCGTGATCATCTTATTATGAGCTTTATTTTGACCCATAGATTATTATTATACGATTTAACATTCTTGAGTTATGCCTGGTCTATCAGTTACTACCTCCCACATTCACAGCCACTTTTGATTAAATCTTGTACAAATTTTATTTTCTATTTTATGGTATGATGTGATCTGTTTGGTTTGTAAATAAACCCAGTATGTTTGAAATAAATGATTCATATCGCGAAGTCTGATATTGGTGTTCTGAACTCTTCCAGGCAAAGCTGGGAGTAGTATATATCACCAATCGAAATGCCTGGAGGCAAAGGTTAGAAAGATCGAAGAGAAGAGAACGAGAACAGAAAGTGATCGGTGTGGAAACGAAAGAACAGTCAAATCTGAGACTACTGATTGACATTTTGCAAATGAAGTATTTACTGCATAGATCAAATAAATTTGGCTGTCCCCTACCAGTGTTCTCGTTTACAACATTAGTATACATGTATATTACACAAAACAAAGTAACAAATATCCAGGAGTGTTCACTCATATATTCATGCAAAAGTTTCCAAATTGAAATGTGATCAATGAATTAAAAAACTCAATATCTTTATAGTTTAAACATGAAGTATATATTTTATGTACCCTATTTATTATATAGCACAATAATTATTTACATAAACAATGATTGTTTGTTTAAATGTTGTATAGAATGAGTGACCTGAAACTGAATTTTAAGTATTAACAGACCAGTAAATTAAC